GGGGGGGGGGGCATGCCCTTATCCCGCCGGAGGTAGTTGTCCGTCCCCGTCTGGCATCTTGCGCGCGTACACACAGCAGCCGCTCTCTCGATCGGTACGGTAGCGTGTTGAGTGGCTTGGTGCCTCGGCGCGGGGTCCCGTGAAGGGAAATAAAAGAGCAACTTGGCAGCCACTGCACAGTGAAAATACAGAGAAGATTATCCGCTGGCATGGCAGTCAGTTCCTATTTTGTTGTGAAGCGCGGTAGCTCGGATGGATGCGATAGGAATAACCAGAAACGGGTATATCCGGGTGCTTCGTCACCACTTTCGGGTACACTCAGAAATCAAGACGGTTGCACCCCCAGGCTGTCAGCTGATTGGCCGAAAAACCATTGTACCCATTTTTGGCGAAGTCTCCATCGGGTACAACTTCCGCTGGAGATAGCACCCTCTGGTGTATGTAACCGATATTGGTTACTGGCGTACCCGTAGACTAAAGGGTCGATTTTGTACCCAGATATGGTCAAATAATCCCGGCGTCCGGCGACTCTACAACCCGCAAAAAAAACGTATACCCCGTACCCGCATGACTCACCATATACCGCACATACCCCACAGTAGCCACACAAACCAACAACGCTTGTTGACGGGCACATTGCCTCCAAGGATACCAATCTCCGACAGCCTCCTCCTCCGTAGATCGCGGCGAAACCAACCGCCATATTCTGCTGCTGCTGCTGCTGCTGCTGCTGCTGCTGCTGTGCTGCTGTGCCTCGGAAGCATGAAGCAGGTCGTGCCCGTTTGTCTCTCTGTACTAACCTACTAATGTACGAGCACCACAGCGATTAAAGCGAGTTCGACCCCCTCTATCCAGGAGAGGGGCGCGGGCCCACGAGTCGATAAATACGTCAAATTGGACTGACTGGTGAAATTGCCAACGGGCACACAGGAGGCGCAACACCGGCAATTGGCGATCTAATGGCGATCGGATCCTCCTTCCTCATGGGAGATGCTGGTGGTATGGACGTAACCCTCGCAAGATATAGCAGAGTGTTTCTCCAAGGTGCAACATGATAGCAGCTCGCTGTTGATAGCTACAGACATACACACATATTGCCGACCCATTCAGTGTTGTGACTCTTCCCCAACCACAAACACACAAACACACACCCTCTGCGCTGTTCCGCGGACGCGCTGCTCCGCAAGGGATCTTACCAGCGAGCTAGGAGCACGGAGCTACGGCCATTATGCATACCTGTTTGGCTGTGCCACGTGCTGTGTATTTTCGTCTTCTTTCCGTGCGTGCATGTTCGGGTGTTAATCGACCGCACGGAGGTGGCGTGCACCAACAACCGTCAACGTCCAATTCGGTTGACTCAGTCTCAGGCTCAATGCCTCGCGTCGTCACCAACACTGTACATGTAGAGTAGAGGTAGATGTTATCTTTACGATAGAATTGTGGTGTATGTGGAGAACACCTTCATAAAGGATGAAACTCCCCAACGTCTGTCGAGGACGAAACCCTCTTTTCCACAATGGCGTCGACGAAGAGCTGTCAGGTGTCTGCTTTTGGTTGCGAAAGACACGGGTTCAAAAACCCGCTGCTCACCTAATTTTCTTCCGGAGTACGGAAAAAGAAAAGCGGTGGGTGGGCCAAGAAACGATGCACTGTCTATCGAACTCGAAACTTCTGGCAATGCGTGGCGGAAGTGGTGCACCCGCACACACGCACAGAAGATTGTTGGAAAAAAGGTGGTTCTACTCGCCGCCAGCCGGTCGGGTTCCGGTTACCCCAAGAAGACTTCTCTTGCCTAGCAATCAAGAAGAAGCCTCGAAAAAGGGGGGGGTAATGTGGAGAACACCTTCATAAAGGATGAAACTCCCCAACGTCTGTCGAGGACGAAACCCTCTTTTCCACATGTAGGTCAATTAACAATACAGATAAGAGTCATGCAGGTGTTTTACGCGGGAGTGAAGAGGCTGCATGCTGCGTAAGTCTGTCTCAGGAATCCTCAGAAAAGTATCGATCATGCATGAATGACCTTTTGAGCACATGAGGTATTCGATCGTACATCGTGTGAATTTGGCGATGTGGCAACACAGCAGTTACTTCGTCTTGATTCAACACTTAAGCGTCGGTTTCCGCACAAAAATGCGAATCGACAGCTAGCTACATTTTGAGAGGAATAAAGTCGGGATCAACCAAACATAATCTTGGGAACACTCTCATCTTTCAAGGAAAGTGGTGGCCCCGCCCCCCTCGCAAGGACTCGAATGCCACACCAGAATACGGGTTCCGACCTCTACATCTAAACACGACACGCTCTTTTACTTCCCCTGTGTAGCAGCAACGTGTACCCCGGAAGTTCCTAGTCAGCAAAGGGTGTGTGCTACAAATCAACNCATGAGGTATTCGATCGTACATCGTGTGAATTTGGCGATGTGGCAACACAGCAGTTACTTCGTCTTGATTCAACACTTAAGCGTCGGTTTCCGCACAAAAATGCGAATCGACAGCTAGCTACATTTTGAGAGGAATAAAGTCGGGATCAACCAAACATAATCTTGGGAACACTCTCATCTTTCAAGGAAAGTGGTGGCCCCGCCCCCCTCGCAAGGACTCGAATGCCACACCAGAATACGGGTTCCGACCTCTACATCTAAACACGACACGCTCTTTTACTTCCCCTGTGTAGCAGCAACGTGTACCCCGGAAGTTCCTAGTCAGCAAAGGGTGTGTGCTACAAATCAACGATGCAAAGCGAAAGGGTAGGAACACTCGCTTGCGCCTTGCATTGAACCTAACCAACGTACCGCATGGAACACGAAAGCTAAAGAAAGAAAGACGAAGATCCTAAAAACCTCCCTGCCCACCACTATTCACCATCGTCATCACCCATTTGGTCGTCGGCTACATGAATGTCAAGGCCCGCGGTCCCCGATTCTTCACCGGGGAGTGCACGGCACGAAAATAAATATCGCGTAGTACATGGCACGTAAAAAACGGCAACACACGTCGTCATTCGGCGGGCGGCACTCGGCGTGTCAAACTGATCACCATGCCCCCGACCGTGACCGATCCGCCCGCACGCCCCCCATGTGACGAAGAGGGAGTCGCTGTGGCACCCCCCTGTGACAGAGACGGAGCCGCCGTGGCACCCCCCTGCGACAGAGAGGGAGCCGCCGTGGTTCCGGATGCAGCCGGGCCGAGTTCAGAAACTCGCGTGTTGAACGACGACGAAGCGTACTTGTCCCTGCGCCCCGCGATCCCCTTGAACTTTTTCGGCCCGAGTTTCTTGGGAGCGCCGACCTGACCATCCACGGGGAGAGGAGGTAGCAGGGTGTCATCTTCCTTCAGCGTGGACGCCACAGGCAGCATGACCTGGTAGGCGTCGTCGCCGTAGGTCTGGCGGTGGTATTTGAGGCGATAGGTCGGGTTCATGAGGGTCATGACAGCGTCCATCTTGTCCTCCTCTGCGTGTATTGAAGGGAGGAGCAACATGGACAACGACAGAAGAGGGAAATGACAGCAGTGATAAAGCGTGGTTAGTTTCTGCCGACCGCGGCCGAAAGGGATACTGACGCGCGACCGCGGACTGACCGAAAGCAAAGTATCGTGCCACCTGTTTTCCAATCACAGAGCATCAGAAGGAATACATTTGAGATATTGGCATTGGTTAGATATTGGCGTTCACGTATTGTGGCCGAAGCACCGCATGTAACCACGACCTCGAAACTGCCGTTGCGGGTGCGGGTGTGTGAATCGCTTTCGAGAAAGGGTCCTAGTTCGTTCAACTGGAAGTGCGCGAACATAGACCGCTTATTTCTTGCGTCATCAAACACTTGACCGAGCGATTCCCGTGGTCACAGGCTACGCTGCCTAAAAAAAGGAATAATCACAGGCCAGATATTGTAGTTCATCCCCTGGTTCAATCTTGGTACTCCACAAAGATAGAGAAAATACACTAATACACTATCCGGGGAAGACAGGACAAAAGAGGTAATAAAACAAAAAACAAAACCACGCAGGAAACAACTAAAATGAACAGACACACAGAAAACAAAAGACCCGCCACAATGACAAGAGGACAGAGACAGAGCATGCAGCGCAAAAACAGGTTTGCCGTGTGAACACGCGAATAAGCACGCAAGTGATCCGATCGATTCCGCGACAACACACTCACAGAGTGCTGCTGGAGGGCTCCTGGCAACACGAGGTTCACGTTCATCGTTTTTTTCGGTCACAAGACTACTGCTGTGCCCACTAGGTACATTGCTTACCTCTAGCCACGGCAATGACGTCGCAGCAAGGGATCTGGAATCTCGCGGGGAACCCGCATGTGCAGGACCCCTCCGTCTTTTGCCCCAGCTCGCCCCACCTCAGCAGGACCCTGTTGCCGCGGGTGTTGAGGGTGGCGAGGTTGGTGTTCTCGACCGTGTAGAACTGGTTGCCCGTGGGGGAGGCGACGAGCCTGGAATAATGAACGTCGCGTGGCAAAGGCGTGCATGTTTTTTGTTGTTTGTTTTGTTTTTCTCCCATCATTGGACTCTGTCGTCTGCCCCTCTGGCCCCTAACCTCCACTTCTACCAGCTAGACGACCCAACCGGAGTCACATAGGAGGGGGGGGTTGGACCCCCTCCTGCGGTTCATGCCTGAGGTATTTTTATCGCGAGAAGGGTACAGCAATCCCTTCCCTCGCGACTTACGAAGTCGATTATGGTTTACTAACAAACGAGCTTTGCAGCGCGTCGCTTTCATCCTAGACCAGGATTTATTTAGTGAGAAAAAAACTCTCTCTGCCGGGACTCGAACCCATGACCTGGCCCTTAGCAGGCTGCGAGGCTACCCACTAGACCACCGGGGCGACCGGGTGAGTACATGTGAATCTCGGCGGCGTGCGTGCACCTCGAAACATGTCATGGAACACCCACCCGTTGGCAACCCACCACCCGTCCGTGCAAGTACAGGAGAGTCCTCCAGGAACTAGGTTGTCTCTTCGAAACCACAAGAGGACGTACCCATACACAGAAAAACCCAAACGCGGCCGTTCATTCTCCACTCTTGTCACTTACCCGGCGGACTTCTTTCTCTGATCTTCGAACGTCGCGGCAGAATAGGGTGTCCATGTGCCATTGCCGAGGGTGGAACTATGGGCGAACTTCTTGGCGGTATCAGCGAGGACGCTCCTCATCAGCTCCAATGGCGGTAGCTTCCTAGCCTGTGAGAAGTCATCGCCGAATAAGTTGCAACATGATCAAGCTACGTTTGGAACGAAACCAACCATGCTCGCATACTTGCTGTGGTCGACACGGGGCGTCGCATTGGTACAAGAGAATCACCAAAACAGGGTAGGGGTGCACCCACAACTCGAGCAATAATGCGCCGGAGCGCGGGGGGTGCGGTGGCGGGGTCGTGGGAGGCGCACGTGTACATTCACGTCCATTCACGTCAGCGAAAAAGCCTTGTATTCAGGTTCTTTTCTGAAAAAAAAACAATTAATACTATAGGTCTCTTCACTGCTACGCAGGGTGCGCTTTCCTTCCAACGAGTGCGTGGGTGTCCCTGGTATGGAATCTACAGTAACGTGTTCGAGTCTTCGCGGCTCGTTGTCCGACCAATACTGCTACCGATCATACATGGCGCACAACAAACGGAACGAAAATCGTCCTGGCATATTGGTACTTTCGTATTTACAACATCGATCCCGGCAGCCACATAACAAGTACCTCCTGCGACGAGTAGCCTTACCTCGACACCAACCGCCGAATTGGTTGGCTCCGAAAGGTTGTTCGTGACAACGTCTTGGAGTGCGGTGTCGGGGCCCACCAGAGTGAGCCCACTCATGCCTCTTCCAATCGTCAATGATCTGGACATAGGCGCGAGGCTTGCTCGGTAGAACGTGCTGTTTCAGGATGTCCTTGCATTGTTTCTTCGTGGGAGCTCTGGCAGCGAAGAATACCCATGAGTTGGCATTCTGGGCAGGCAAGTTAAAACATGAGAAGGGGCACGGGCAAAATAGGGAGAAGGGACAAAACTAAGAGGGGCTTCTAAAACACAACAAAATGGAGCAGTAACGCACCCAAGGGAGTCGCAGCGCATCGGCGAGTGCATCACCAGCAGTGGCGCCTGTACCTGCCGACACCCAATGCAGCAATACTAAACGTCAAGTCCNAACCAAACACAAGCCCCGCACACACACGAGTAAGGACTGGCTGAGCAGTTCCTAAAAACAGATAGATGGGGCTCAACCTGTTCCTTCGGCGTTGTTGACATTTCCTCTGGGTTACTTCTCCAAAATAACGATACCGTGACGTGGACTTGTCGAAGCTGGAGGCCACTGCCATGAACGTCTAGAGGCGGTACTCACACCCCACCAAACGCGTCGCGCCGCATCTCGCGGGGCTTCTTCCCGAGTGAACAACTTGCTACTTGGGTGCAGCTAGTCGAGGAGAATTTGGTGTGTAAGCGTGCTTGACAATTTGAATGATTGCCATGGACTTGCTCACCCTACACAGATCGACGGCTGCACAGCTGGGACAATCGTGCCTGGCACATGATACAATCGCTACATAGATTCGGTTGGCGCATCTCGTGGTACGCTCCTGGCGGCAATACAGATGACGATGTCGTGGTGAGCTGAACAAGCGCGGGTGTGTACGACATGGCGTAAATATGGGGGGGGGGCGCCTGAGTAGCCTTTTTTCCCAACCGCCTCGTTCTCACAGTGACTGCTGTCGATCCGTAGGGTTCAGATATCCCAGCAGCACGTACATGCTACACTCTGTCCGGGTAAATATATTTTTTTTGGGGGGGGGACAAAGAAAGGGGAGGAAAACAGCTCAGCGAGAGCTTCAAGAACACCGCCCCGAACCCCAACCACTCGTTCCGGGTTTTTGACAAGGCAATGGATTAACCAGGACAACACCAAATCTCACATCTGACGACACCTACGAACTGCCTGATAATGTACATCACAGACACCCACCCCCCGCTTCTTAACACACACCCCAGTCATCCCCGACTCGTCAACAGCGTCTCGAACACATAACATCATACTTTTACTCACGCTGCCAATCTTCTCTATGTTCAGGATGATGTGCCTCAAGCAGTACCGGTGCTGCGCCAGCGGGGCCTCTCCCCGCAGAGCACAGGTCGCCCCCTTGTGCTGGTCCGTGAAGAAGATTGTCTTCGAGTCTTCCAGCAGGTCCCTCATCTTCGGGTTTTTCTTGCAGTTGCGCAGCAATGTCTTGTAGAGGGAGGTGTCCTCCTTGGGTCCGATCACCGTCGCCACGTGAATCATCTCGTTGTTTGCGTCCTTGCACGTCAGCGTCAGCACCATCCCGTTCCACTCTCCCTTGAGGTGTCCCCCGTCCTTCCCCACGACCTGAGGACGTTTTTTATGGAGCAAAGCGGGAGGGAAAGGGTGAAGACAATTCGTCAAAACGAAAAATCAATGTTAAGGGCGACATGCATACATAACTTCGCTCTGCAAGAAAGGCAGGGGCAACACAAAGGTTTCAACACGACGGACCTTCGCAGATCTTCGCGTCATCTCTTTCGAAGGAATGGGAACGTGTTTGCGCAGGGGAAAAGGGAGATACAAAAATCTTGAGCTGTGGCGTGGGGGCATAGACCAGTCTCACCCGGCCTCAAAGGAAACAACTTAGGTCTTCGAGATATACCACCAACAAGACGCCGATCTCCATCAATGCCGGCAATGTTTCGCAGGTTGTTGGAAGGGAAAGCGGTCACCAGGCAAATAGCAAGGCAACAAATATGGTGAGTGTCGATCCCTGTATCGTTTACTATACCCTCCCCCGGTACCCCCGGAGGTTTTCGTCGCTTGGCACCGACGTTGTAAACAAGCCGATCGCTTCGTGCCAGGTTACCGCATTTTTTTTTGCCGTTTTTTTCTTTGCAGCAACCGTGATGGAACCCTCACTCCGCGCAAAGGGGATGATCGCACCATGTTGTGTGAAAATGGGCGAGCACCTTCGAGGCAGTTAGTTCCACAGTGCTCATGTGGACGTGCAAAGAGCAAGTGAAAACCAGAAAATAAATGATCAAGTCATTTGCAGCTGTCATCCATATGCAAGGAAGCAAGCGCGCGATGCCGAACACCCCTAGCAGGATGCACCGCACCCTTCATGCAACTCGCCGAATACCTNCCCCCCCCCTAGACTAGGTACAAGAGGGGTAATGGGGGGCCAGTGCGTTCGTCCGCCCATACCTCAGACGGTTGACCACATCCTCGTGAACACATCTCCGGGAGCGCAAATGACAATGACACTCGACACAAGGGTTTGACTGCATTCAACACAGTCTACGTGGTGTAAGAACAGGAATATCCTCAAATTAGTACTCCAATGGGTTACAACATGCACTGTGCAACAAGGAGGGCGGGCGCAAAGGTGCACACAGTGTTCCGATTAAAAATGGAAAGGGCCAATCCCAACTCTGCGTGACACACACCTTCATCGGGCTTCGCACCGCAGCGCGAGCAGCACGCCCGAGCATGAGGATAACACGGCGGAACCTGCCGGTAGTCTCCCTCTGACACAGCAGTGCAGAGGAGCGCAGGGGAGGACGAGACACATCGAAGGGGGGTAGGAGGATGGCACAAGTTCGATTGTAAATTCAAACAAGCTTCAAAACTCTTTCAAAAAATCTCTCGCTGGATGGTGGTGCAGAGGTAACATCGGGGGTGCAGTCTACCCACAGCAGACACCATTCATTCAAGCCATTTCTACCCACGAATTCAACCACCGCTGATAATCCACCCACCTGCACCATCGCAACCTATCCCGGACAGTACGAGTCCATGATGCGGTACCCGTGTTCCAGTTGCTCCTTCGATGCCCTCGTGGCCGCGACCTTCAGGCGTGACGCCGCGCTGTAGCTGACCCTGAGTCCTGTGCTCTGCTCCAGGCTCCTCTTGAGGTCGGCGCCCTTCATGGTCGGGTTGCTGACCATGGCGGCACTGGCGAAGCCCTCGAGCGCAGCCGCTTTCGCTCCGACCTTGCCGCCAGACAAGTCGTTGTGTTCCGGGATGAAGAACGTCACCTTGAACTCTCCCAACCTCTGCCTGCAGGCGCGCACGGTCGCCTGGCATCCTCCTGCGGCGCCATTGCAGATGTACTTGTTCTGCCTGCCGCCTCCCTTCCCGGAATGAAAGCTACGGCCAGCTGCCGAGATCATGGCCGCCACATCTAGCCTTAAGGCTTTCACGTCTTTGTAATGTTTGCCGCTCCCCAGCATGACGACCGCCGTGTGGTGCGTGGGTGAGGTGTGTGTGGTTAGGACCTGCCTCCGGGGGCCGGGCACGGCGGTTGGTTTTTCGCCGCGATCTACGGAGGAGGAGGCTGTCGGAGATTGGCATCCTTGGAGGCAATGTGCCCGTCAACAAGCGTTGGTGGTTTTGTGTGGCTACTGTGGGGTATGTGCGGTATACGGTTTTTCTTGCGGGTTTTAGAGTCGTCGGCGCCGGGAAAATATGACCATTTCAGGGTACAAAATCGACCCTTTCCGGGTACGCCAATAACCAATATCGGTTACACCAGACAGCCTGGAGATGCCCCCGGCTACCTGAGGGTACCTGGGGGTGCAGGCGCGTTGATTTCCAAGTGTACCCGAAGGTGGGGACGAAGTACCCGGGTATACCCGTTTCTGGTTACTCCTCATGCGATAATCCTGGTGGTGGCGTGAAAGCCGGGTGGCGGGGGGTCGGGGCTCAGGGCGCCACGCGCCGCCGCTCTCGAACCAGTGTCCTGTTGCCGCCGCCTCTCGCGGGTGTCGGGGCTGAGGGCGCCACGCGCCGCCGCTCTCGAATCAGTGTCCTGTTGCCGCTGCCTTTCGCGAGTTGACGGGGAAACGGCAGCCCTTCGCAAGCGGTCCCTCTGCCGACCGTTCTGCCGGGCAACAGCGGCGGCAGCAGCAGCAGACTCAGGAGTGGTTGTTGCCCTCCCCCCTATAGTTTTTTTTATTTTTAAAGTGTGGCCCGTTAGGGGTGCGCTTTTTGTTTTGTTTTGCAAAAAAAAAACTGTTTAGAAGGATCGTGTGGGGAGTACTANGGGCGCCACGCGCCGCCGCTCTCGAATCAGTGTCCTGTTGCCGCTGCCTTTCGCGAGTTGACGGGGAAACGGCAGCCCTTCGCAAGCGGTCCCTCTGCCGACCGTTCTGCCGGGCAACAGCGGCGGCAGCAGCAGCAGACTCAGGAGTGGTTGTTGCCCTCCCCCCTATAGTTTTTTTTATTTTTAAAGTGTGGCCCGTTAGGGGTGCGCTTTTTGTTTTGTTTTGCAAAAAAAAAACTGTTTAGAAGGATCGTGTGGGGAGTACTATGTTGTCTTCACATTAAAAACCATCCCGGTCTCTCTATCCAGTACCACCTCCTTCTGTCTCAATCTCTCCGTACTAATCCAGCACTTGACTCGGTCAATTTCCGTGGTCACAGGCTAACGTACCTAGAAAAGGTATACCAAAATAAAATGGACCCCAAGGCCGTCTGTCTTTGGTTTATTTCGTTTTTGTTTTTTTGTTTTTTTCTGGCACGTACTGTTGACCCTTGGGGTCCTTCCCGAAGGCTACCCCCCAGGCTGGTGGTGCGCACGTTCCACTATTTATTTATTTATTTGTTTCTGATTCTTTTGTTTTCTTGTATTTTATCGCTCTGCTAACCCTTGGGGTCCATTTTTTTTTGTATACCTTTTCTAGGTACGTTAGCCTTTGACCACGGAAAT